CGATGGTAAATCTTTTAAATTAAAATTACTAAAAACTAACAGCCTTCACTTTGACTAGTTCCACATTATGTTAGACAAAAAATGTGCACAGCATGTAGGCTGCAGAAAAACAGTCAGACTAGCATAAAAAAAAAGAAATAAAATAACAACGGCATCACTTTGTTCGTTATGACACAGAGGTTGCTTATATTTTAAATATAAAAAGTGAGTATTTTTAAGGCTATTATTCTTCAGTTTTCTCTAAAAACATATTGTTCCGTTTGAAAATGTAGGTTAAATTCAATGGATAAATAACCTGGTCGATGACACCCGAGACTGTCTGAAGTTCTACAAGAAGCATTTAATCTGTAGTCATAACACAGCTGCCTGAAGAGCTTTGGTCAGTCTCAAAGTAGTATTTGTTCATGAGTTATTTGCACTGATTAGTGTTGCTTTAAAACTAAAGGTGGAAATGAAAAGATTCAGTCGAACACAAAAACAGCTGAACACACTAGTTCTTCTTTTTCTTTCGGCTTTGTCCCTTTTTCAGGGGTTGCCACAGCAAATCATTGATTTCCATCTCTCCCTGTTCTCTGTATCTTCTACTCTGACTCCAACTACCTGCATGTCCTCCCTCACTGCATCCATATATCTCCTCTTTGGCCTTCCTCTCTTTCTCCTACCTGGTAGCTCCATCTCTAACATTCTTCTACCAATGTATCCACTGTCCCTCCTCTGCACATGTCCAAACCATCTCAATCTGGCTTCTCTAGCTTTTTCTCCAAACCTTCCTGTCTGTGTTGTCCCTCTAATGACCTCATTCCTGACCCTGTCCATTCTTGTCACTCCTAAAGAGAATCTTAGCATCTTTAACTCTGCCACCTCCAGCTCCTCCTCCTGTCTTCTGCCTATTGCTACTGTCTCTAAACCATACATCATGGCTGGTCTCACCACTGTCCTGTAAACCTTTCCCTTCACCTTAGCTGACACTCTTCTGCCACCGATCACTCCTGACACTTTTCTCCAGCTGTTCCATCCTGCCTGTACTCTATTCTTCACCTCTCTTCCACAGTCTCCGCTGCTCTGAACAGTTGATCCTAAGTACCTAAACTCCTGCACCTTCACCACCTCTGCTCCTTGTAGCCTCACTATTTCACTGTTCTGCCTTTCGTTTACACACATGTACTCTGTCTTGCTGCGACTGACCTTCATTCCTCTTCTTTCTAGTGCAAACCTCCACCTCTCTAGGTTCTCTTCTAGCTGCTGCCTACTCTCACTACAGATCACAATGTCATCTGCAAACATCATAGTCCATGGGGACTCCTGTCTGACCTCATCTGTCAATCTGTCCATCACCACAGCAAACAAGAAGGGGCTCAGGGCCGATCCTTGATGTAGTCCCACCTCCACTTTGAAGTCTTCTGTCCTCCCAACAGCGCACCTCACTACTGTTGTACTATTCTCATACATGTCCTGCACCAAACTAACATACTTCTCTGCCACTCCTGACTTCCTCATACAAAACCACAATTCCTCCCTTGGCACTTTGTCATATGCCTTTTCTAGATCTACAAATACACAATGCAGCTCCTTCTGACCTTCCCTGTACTTCTCCATCAACATCCTCAAGGCAAATATTGCATCTGTGGTACTCTTCCTAGGCATGAAACCATACTGTTGTTCACAAATCTCCACTTCCTGCCTCAACCTAGCTTCAACTACTCGTTCCCAAATCTTCATTGTATGGCTCATCAACTTTATCCCTCTGTAGTTGTTACAACTCTGTGCATCACCCTTCTTATGAATTGGCACCAGAACACTTTTTCTCCACTCATCAGGCATCTTGCCAGTCTCTAAAATTCTGTTAAACAAACCAGTCAGGAAATTTACTGCCACTTCTCCTAAACACTTCCATACTTCCACTGGTATGTCATCAGGACCAACTGACTTTCCACTCTTCATCCTCTTCAGGGCTTTTCTAACTTCATCCTTTCTAACCTGATCTACCTTCTTCCTACTAGTCTCTGGCTCCTCGTTTCTACTTTCCCTTTCATTTTCCTCATTTAACAACTCCTCAAAGTATTCCTTCCATCTTCTCAGCACACTTTCCTCACTTGTGATCACATTCCCCTCTCTGTCCTTAATCAACCTCACCTGCTGCACATCCTTCCCAGCTTGATTTCTCTGTCTCGCCAATCTATACAACTCCTTTTCTCCTTCCTTTGTTTCCAAACTCTCATACAACTCCTCATATGCCTTTTGTTTGGCCTTGGCCACTTCCCTCTTCACCTCCCTTGTCCTCTCTTTGTACTCCAGTCTGTTCTCTTCTGTTCTGTCACTGTCCCATCTCTTCTTCGCTAATCTCTTTCTCTGCACACTCTCCTGGATCTCCTCATTCCACCACCAGGTCTCTTTGTCCTCCTTTCTCTGCCCAGAGGACATACCTAGCACCTTCCTACCTGTCTCCCTCATCACTGCAGCTGTAGTCTCCCAATCATCTGGGAATATCTCAACACTACCCAGAACTGCCCTTACTTCCTTCCTGAAGTCTTCACAACATGTCTCTTTCCTTAGTTTCCACCACTTGATCTTCTGCTCTGTCTTCACTCTCTTCCTTTTTGTCACCTCCATCGTCATTTTACACACTACCATCCGATGTTGTTTGGCTACACTCTCACCTGCCACCACCTTACAGTCTCTAATCTCCCTCAGATTACATCTTCTACATAGAATATAATCTATCTGTGTGGACCTGCCTCCACTCTTGTAAGTCACCCTATGTTCCTCTTTCTTTTGGAAATATGTGTTTACCACAGCCATTTCCATTCTCTTTGCAAAATCTACCACTGCCTGTCCTTCTACGTTTCTCTCCCTAACACCAAACCTGCCTATCACTTCCTCATCTCCTCTGTTCCCTTCCCCTACATGACCATTTAGGTCTGCTCCAATCACCACTCTCTCTCTCCTGGGGATACTCTCTACCATCCAATCTAGCTCCTTCCAGAACTTCTCCTTTTCTTCCAACTCACAGCCCACCTGTGGGGCATAACCACTAACAACATTAATCATCTCTCCTTCTACTTCTACCTTCACACACATCAACCTGTCTGACTCTCTTTTCACCTCTACCACATTTCTTACATATTCTTCCTTTAGGATCACCCCTACTCCATTTCTCTTCCCATCTGAACCATGATAAAACAGTTTGTAGCCTCCTCCAATGTTTCTAGCCTTACTGCCCTTCCACCTGGTCTCCTGCACACACAAAATATCTACTCTTCTTCTCTCCATCACATCAGCTATTTCTCTACTTTTCCCTGTCATTGTACCTACATTCAAAGTTCCAAACTTCAGACTAACACTTCTATTCTTCATCTTTTCTCTTTTTCTCCTAACCAAACGCCCTCCTCTTCTTCTCTGTCTCTGACCAAAACACTCAATTTACAAACGGTTTACATTACAAAAATAATTAAAAAGCCAATAGCCGATCATTTAGATTTCAAGGTAGATTTTGAACTTGTCCTGTCTGGAATGGCCAGGCTGCAGTGACAGAGGAGGAGAAGGGGCGCTTGTTGGTGGTGCTTCATAAGGAAGTGACCTCGCTAGAGAGACAACTTCGAGGCAACCTGAGTCAGGATGAACATCTCCAGGAGGTAAAGAATGTGTGAAATGGAAATAAGTGTAGTTTAGTTTTTTCTAAATATTAAATTTTTATTAAGTTTTAATTTTTACTTTTTAGCATCCAATCTCAATGAATATAGGAAGATCATCAAAAAAATCTGTTCTATCAGTGGTTGCAAGTACTGTCTGACATAAAAGATGCATATTCTTTAATTTGTTTTTGAATAACAACAGATAGATGGAAGTTTTGATGAAAACGCTACACACTTCTATCAACTCTTCCCTTTATTTTTTTAGAAGTCCAGTCTGGAGCAGAGTCTGCATGAGATCCGAGCGGAGCTGCTGTCTATTCGAATGAACCATACTGATATAGTCAGCTCTCTAGAGGCACAGGTAACTAACAACTTCAACTAAACATTTTTCTCCCCACATTTAATTCATTAGGCAGATATTTAGATGGTTACTAAACTTCAGGTGAATAAAACAACAGTGTCCTTATTGTTATTGATTCCCAGTTCATCATATGGGTCTTTTGTGTAGGTTTCTAAAATGAGTTGCAGTATCACTGAGCTGCAGACTCTTCTCCGTCACAAAGGCGACTCGTCCATAGCCTACAGAGAGAGAACAGACGCGCAGGTGAGCTGATGACTTATTAACTTTTAACATAGCTCTTTATGAAGTTTGAGGATTTAGCAGTACAGTTTAGATGACTATTTTGTTTAGTCAGTTCAGCTGCTGTTCTTTTTTCTTTAGGTTGCTGATTTGGAGCAGCAACACCTGGAGTGTGGTAAAAAACTAAAAAATGCAGAGCACCAGGTCACAGAAAAACACAGAGACACCATCGGTGCACTCAATTAAGACGTCTGTGTAGTAGCGATTTAAACTGCAGTGTAAAGAGTGATAATGTGTTTTCTGTTCAGCAAGGAGATTGGACATTAGAAAAAGTCTTTCTGGTACAGCAGGTGTGTTTGTTCAGCAGCAGAGCGAAAAGAAGATCAGTCAGCTGGAGAAAAACATCCTTTCATTAGAAATGGAAAAAAAGATGCTGTGGTGTGTATTGTTAATGTACCTCTTATCTTTGGGAAATTAAAAATAAAAAATCTTCAAATGTATGTACAGTGGTATGAAAAAGTATCTGAACCTTTTGGAATTTGTCACATTTCTGCATAAAATCACCATCAAATGTGATCTGATCTTTGTCAAAATCACACAGATGAAAAAACAGTGTCTGCTTTAACTAAAACCACCCAAACATTTATAGGTTTTCATATTTTAATGAGGATAGCATGCAAACAATGACAGAAGGGGGAGGAATAAGTAACTGAACCCTCACATTTAATATTTTGTGGCCCCCCCTTTGGCAGCAATAACTTTAACCAGACGCTTCCTGTAGCTGCAGATCAGTCTGGCACATCGATCAGGACTAATCTTGGCCCATTCTTCTTTACAAAACTGCTGTAGTTCAGTCAGATTCCTGGGATGTCTGGCATGAATCGCTGTCTTGAGGTCATGCCACAGCATCTCAATGGGGTTCAAGTCTGGACTTTGACTTGGCCACTCCAGAACGTGTATTTTGTTCTTCTGAAACCATTCTGAAGTTGATTTACTTCTGTGTTTCGGATCATTGTCTTGTTGCAGCATCCATCCTCTTTTTAGCTTCAGCTGTCTGACAGACGGCCTCAGGTTTTCCTGCAAAACATCCTGATAAACTTTTGAATTCATTTTTCCAT